TTCTGAGTAAACAATTATTATGACTTTTAGGGTAATCCTTGTAGTTTTTTAAGTTTCAACCTCAATTTTATTCCCCTAATCCTTGAATATTTTTTAAAAAGAGATTTACTTTGATCAGCTAAATCCAGCATTTTCCCTGTTTAAACCTACAGCTTTTCTTTTTCAAAAATGATAAACATTTATTAAAAAGCAAACTACTGTCGCTCTTTTGGGGTCATAAAACAATCTTAAACATGGATGTAAAAATTATTAACCCCTTTGTTTCTGAAAACTTATGGTTAAATCATTTGGTTAACTTAAGTATATAGCTTGCCTAAAAATAAGATAGAGTATATCTTACATAGGTTTTTAGAACATATAGAGTTTGTGCTTCAAAACACCACATGAAGTAAAGATAAGCACTTGCATAATTTTTAGGATATATGGGAATACAAATGAATTGTGGATTTGGATTTCGATGCTGAATCAAGTGTGAAACAATAATAAAACAGTCTGATTTTTGTGTTGGAATTAGAAGAATCAATATACACCTTCCTATTTGCTTAAGCATCATTTGTTCCTAATGTTACACAGAGGCATAAGAATGTTCATTTATATGAAGTTTGCGTTGCTCAAGAAATCAAGCTTCTGATCTGAGCGAGAATAATGACAAGTAATGACCAGTATTTTAAAGGATGATGGTGCTCACTTGTTCCTACTAGAAAGATGGAATGTCATCCTTCCATGAAAAACAAGGAATGAGGGGAAGGCAAGGAAAACCTGCTATTTAAACCTTCTCATCATAGAAATAAGGTAGTGGTTCCAAAGTGAAGACTTGTGGTTAAGTTTCAGATCAGTTATGGAAGCCAGCCGTTTTTCAAACTGCACCACCCAGAAGTGTCATGCTCTTACCACATGAGACGTAGTCTCTTTTTCACAGAATGCTATTTTCATTTTTCAGTTGTTGGGAGGTTTTTTTCCCCTTCTTCCTTTTATTTGCTTATCTACTTCAAATCTTCTGTAGAACACTGAGTAAAAATAAGTAAATACACTTGTTTTAGCAAATCCTTAAATACCTACTATGTGCTAGTTAATTCAGGCACCACCTTTGTGCTTTTATAATAGAATTTGGACGCCTTCCTCCCAATCAAGAGTCTTAGGCCATGAATCAGCATTTAAAAAAAATGCACTGAGAAGTTGGCAGCCACGCTTAACCAGAGAAGGCTTCTTTACAACTACTGGGCTTATAGGCCTGCAGTTTCTATAAGCCACATGCTATTTAAAACAAAGGAGAGCCGGGCTCGGTGGCTCAGCCTGTAATCCCGCGCCTTTGGGAGGCTGAGGTGAGTGGATTGCCTGAGCCCGTGGGTTTGAGACCTGCCTGGGCAGCGAGACCTCATCTCTACAATAAATCAAAAACTCAGCTGGGCGTGGTAGCACACGCCTGTAATTCCAGCTACTCGGAAGGCTGAGGCGGAAGGATCACCTGAGCCCAGCAGGTCGAGGCTGCGGTGGCCGGGAGCAGCCTCTGCACTCCAGTCTGGGCGACAGAGTGAGACTCCAACTCAAAAAAAACAAAACAAAACAAAAAAAAAAACAAAGGAGATTTTGCAACATGCAAAACAATCCAGTGAAACGCTAATATAATTGGATGAGACCAACCCTATACTTATGTGTGAACATGGTTTACTTCCAAATAAGCCCTGAGTTAGCTCTAAAATCTAGCCTAAAACACCAGCTCTGAAACCATAGGTGGAGAAGAGAAGATTTCCTAAGCCCAGGAGTTCGAGACCAGCCTGGGCAACTTGAGATCTCATCTCTACAATAAATCAAAAACTTAGCTGAGTGTGACGCACATGCCTGTAGTTCCAGCTACTTGAGAGGCTGAGGTGGAAGGATCACCTGAGCCCAGCAGGTGGAGGCTGTGGTGGCCGTGAGCATACCACTGTACCCCAACCTGGGTGACAGAGTGAGACTCCGACTCAAAAAAAAGGGCAGATTTTTGGATCTCCCCCTGATAGCTTTGGGTTCTGCCAGTCTGGGACAAAGTCCAGGAGGGCGTATCTGTTCTTTTTGGTTTTGGGGGTTTTTTTGAGCTGGAGTCTCACTCTGTTGCCCAGACTGGAGTGCAGTGGCATGCTCCCGGCCACTGCAGCCTCAACCTGCTGTGCTCCGGCAATCCTTCCGCCTCAGCCTTCCAAGTAGCTGGAACTACAGGCGCGCGCTACCATGCCCGGTTAATTTTTTGATTTACTGTAGAGATGAGGTCTCGCCAAGTTGCCCAGGCAGGTCTCGAACCCACGGGCTCAGGCAAATCCACTCATCTCAGCCTCCCAAAGTGTGGGATTACAGACTGAGCCACCAAGCCCGGCTGTCTATTCTTAAAACTGTCTCAGGTGTTCCTGGTGCAGGTGGCCCTCAGGCTTCACTTTGTGAAACCCCATCCTCGCCTGTCAGAGCTGGGATGGGCAACTGGGTCCTCTTTTCCTCCAGCGTTTCCCAGATCACTTGATCCTCACAGTCACCCGAAAAGCATTTTAAAAATAAATGCTACTCACCATCAATACCTGCACAGATTCCACTTCCAGCTTCCTGGGGTAAGGCCAAGGAATCTGCATCTGTGAAAGCTGTTCTCAGGAGGATCCGATGGGTTTGGGAACCTCTCTCACTAATGAGGAGAGTGATGCTGGGAAGGGCAGATGTGAAAGTAAGCATTCACTTTCCTCAGCCCACTGAATCTCCTCTCAGAGAGGAAGAGATGCCCAACACGAGCAACTTCTGCCATTATTTCAATATCATGAACACACTTGAAATATTTTTTCTAGTTACGTTGGCCTTGCTATCAACCAGCATGTACAAGGAAGTGGGCAGACTATTACCCCAAATGGCCCCCAAGAGGAAAGGACCCTGACTCTGTTTGGGGGCAGGGGGTGCTGGTGATACTTGCCAAAGGTTGTATTTCTTTCCAGCATCACCTTGTCCGGGAGCTGTGACCTCTGTGTGTGACATAGACACGATGCATTAGAGCCCTGGGTTTGCACCGGGGCTGGCTCTTATGGATATTGTGTAAGCAGGCTAGGGGTTCTGTGCAGGCGTCAAGGCCAACTCCAGTGGAAACAGTGAAGCCTTTTCAACATTGCCTTTTTTCAGCAACAAAGTAAAGGTTTCAGTGCCCTGCAAACCCAGCGACACTTATTTTAAAGGCCTGTTTACCCGATGGCCTTTCCCAGGCTCTGAGTGCCTGGCAAGTAGTGCCAATGTCCAGGCTCTGGAGGCGAAGTCCAAACACCACCCGCGCAGCGCTGCCTTTGCACAGCTGCAATCTTAGACTGGCAAAAGAGATCAAAGTAGAACTGCCCTGGCTGGCGTGGAGGAGGGCAGCCTGCCCCCTTCCACACTGCAATGCCAACCCCTCCTGCTGTGGAAAATGCTAGTGCGGTTTCTCAGTGTTGTGGCACATGTGATGCTAGGGGCCGTAGGGACAGCAGTCATCGTGACAGACGTAGTCTCCGGACTCTGCGAGTGTACATGCTGGGGGGAGAGGTAGACAGTCCCTAGGCAAACATGTCAAGAAACTAGATAAAAACAGAGAGTGACAGCAGCTAGGCTTGTGTAAAAAACAAGGTGATGACTTAGAAATGTGCTTGGCCTCATGGATGAATATCGGGGAACTGAATCAAAAAAGAAATTCTTCCAACTGTTGGTGAACGTTCTGCAATAGACCTGGAAGGGAGCTTAGAGGTCGTCTGTTCCCAACATCGTCCTCATTTGAATCTATCTAGGGAGCTTTTAACAAGACATAAACCCAGGCTTCGTTCCCAGATATTTCTGATTTTATTGATCCTAGGTAGGGCTCAAGTATTGGAAATGTTTTAAAGCTACTCAGATAACTCTGGTTGGGAGACCACTGAAGTCCAGCATCCTTACTTTATACATGTGTCACTCTGTCCCCAGTATAGTGAGACAGTGTTGAGTCCCGGAAACCCTCCTCAATGGAATGGGAGAAGATGAAGACGTGGGTTCTTGACCCAGACGTGTGACTTGATGGTTGTCAGGTTACCTCAGTTCCTCACTTCCACCATTTGTAAAATTAGAGGGTTGGACGTGATAGCCGTCGACATCCTGTCCAGCTCTACCCTTCTATGAAAATGTTTCTATTCAAACAATCAAAAAAGATCTGGTTTCTTGTTCTTGAAAGTCTTCTTGCTTTCAAGAAGCAAACAAATGCCTCCTGGTTTCCTTATTCTCTGTCTGTACCCTTGATTGCCATAGATGCTTCAATCAGCTGATCAGTTCCTTTTGGAAGTAAAAATGCAAGATAGAAAGACAAAACTACTTTATGCTGACTATTTAAATAAATATAAGAACAAGCAAGCTTTCATTAATATTAATAGTAAATATGCCTAGACTTAGTTCTGGTAAATTACAGTCATACCTTATTTATCAAATTCTAGCCCAAAGCTTTTTTCATATTTGATGGTTGATTTAAAACTGTGGGGTGGGAGGCAGTTATTTAAAAACAGAAACCTTGGAATAGCTTAACCATTGCACACCACAGTAATCTTATTCCTTACCAAATATTCTAGGCCGGAAACCCAAAGAAATGGAGTCTCTTCCAATGTATTGTTTGCTGTTTATTAGCAGAAACAGTGTATCTCTGGTGTTGCCAATTTATAAAAGGAAAATAACAGAACCAAACTCCAGCCTGAAAAATATCATTTTACTCCCTCATTTGAGACCTGGTATCTCTAAGAACTTGGATTTCATTGAAACATGTATTCAAAAAGATAGCAGTTCATTATAAAGCAGCATGGTGTGATGTAAGCACCTTAAGTTTATTTCCTTTTTGTGTGGAATTTCCCAGTGGGGTTTGATAATATTCATCAGTTTCCAGAAGCGATAAAGGAGTTTGAAAAGAAAATCTGATGAGAACTGGTAAATGAAATTAGAGCCACATCTTTTTCAACAGAGATCTTCAAAGATTTGCATATTGCCGATTTTGCCTGTATATATTCAAGAAATTGTATTCACATCTACATGTTTGCCTCAGACATGAGATTATGAAAGTCATCTTCCTCTAACTTCGGTAGCGACCACAGTGGCATGCAACTTTTGAACGTGATATTGTTTAACAATACAATTGGTTTGATAGAAATCTATTTCAAAAGCAATGTTTCCACCACAAGCAAAATCGTGTAGAACAGAAGTGTTTTGTTTCCACCATTGCAGAGAAACAAAATTGTTTAAGATGAGTTAAGATGTCTGAGTTTTGGCAGACTTTCTAAGCCCCCTGCTGCTGTTGCATTCAGAATCCCTTTTGAAGTGGCTTGGAAGTTTCTATGTAATTTCAGTGGCTGCTTAGGGGAAATATTGGCTAAACTACTCATTTTGACTGTTAAGATGGATTGCGCGTTTTCAGAATGTTTTCATTTGCTAGAAATATGTTTTCGCACTCAGCCTCCTCTTGTTGAAGAAGGTTGGTTACCAGCCATCTGATGACGCCTCAGGGCGTTTACAGAAAATGTGGGTGCTGTCGTTATATTTGAGCACAGCCCTCCCCCAACAAAGATAGTGTGGCAATCAGCAGGAATGCGAAAACATGTGTTTAAGGATTGATGCTTGTAAAAGAGGTGCCGTAAAGAAACACAGTTGTTCAGATGTAAGAAATGACTGACAGCTCTCCTTGTAGGCATGCTAGTAACAATAAAGTCTAGAAGTTCGACATCAAAGCGATCAGAGCTTATTCCACCAGTGACTTGCACATCAAAGATGGAGCACAAGACAAAAGAAGTGCACGGAGGTGTGTTTCTGCCTCATAGCCAGATCCTCAGGGGGAGCTCCCAGAGCGCCTTTCATGCAGGCACAGTGATTTTTTGCAGATCAGCGTCTTGGTTTCATAAATGGCCGGGAATATAAAAGCAGGGCGAATGCACATCGTAATTGCTCCCCATCACTTTAGGTTTGGTTAGGAAAGATTCATCACACGAGAGATTGGTCTCTCTGGTTTCCCTGAGGAGTGAATTCTGTACTGGTGTGGGCGGCTCCAGCTTCACCTAATATAGTACAAGGAATTATTCACAAAATAGGAGAGTATTAATTAGATATGCCACAGGTTGGTCAATTGGGCTTGAGCACATAAAACTAGACTTAAGTTTGTGGAGTTGCCACCCCCACCCATTGCTTGTTTTTTTCAATTTTTAAAAGTAATCTTGTAAGGTCAGGCATGGTGATGCCTATTATCCCAGCACTTTGGAAGGCAGAGGCAAGAAGATTGCCTGAGCCCAGGGGTTCGAGACCAGCTGGGGCAACTTGGCAAGCTCTCAGCTCTATAATAAACTTTTAAGAAAATTAGTCAGGCGTGGTGGTGTGCCCCTGAAGGTCCAGCTACTTGGGATGCTGAGGTGGAAGGATCACCTGAGTCCAGCAGGTGGAGGCTGCAGTAGCCATGAGTGTGCCCGCTGCCCTCCAGCCTGGGCGATAGAGTGAGACTCTGACTCAAAAAAAAGTAACCTTGTGGGTGGATTTTTGCTGAATCAGGGTGAGCATTACTTAACAGGTGTGTGTGATAATGAAATTTAGACCTGTTAAACCAGCTCTTAATGAATCGCCAGATCTGTGCCTCAGTTCTCTGACTCAAATCATGTATATTCAAGAATGCCAAAAGTCAAACAGGAAGAAGAGTCTGGATTTGACTTTTCTCCCCTTCTCTCTCGATAGTAAATTTAAAGTAAAATTAACCATGCAAGTATTATTGGTGGTTTGAAATAATGTGCTTTTTTTCCTTGTCTTTGAAATTTAAAGTTCTTTTATGTTCATCTTCAGTAATTTACTCAGTAATTTTAAATGCTATTGAAAAATAGTAGCGCTCTGTGTAGTCATTAATAAATACAAAGCAGCTTTCTCAAGGCTCTAGGGAGACGTAATAAACACAACTGTGTTACTAATTGATGCTATACTGAGCTGGCAAAAGTAGTGCATCGGTAAACAGAAGTTAGAAAGCAAGAAGTTAAAGAACTATAGGGGATTATGTAGACATCAAGGGCTGGAAATTATAATAAGGCCTCTTTAGGGGAGCGTTAATTTGCATGTGGCTGAATTAGGACAACCAATTATTTCAGAGGACACTTTTAAGAGCTCATCCAAAATACCCCTAGAGTTGAGGGGGCTGGGAGTTAGGCGGGATGGAAGGGGGCACTGAGCATGCCATATTTCCTATAACTCCTGATAGTTTGATAGTTTTCTCAATAACATGTTAGAGTAGCTTTCTTTGTTAGGGAGAGAAATGCTGATGAAATCAAGAGTATGGCAATTTCTTTGTTCCATACACACAATTTATGTTGAACTACCACAATGGAATTTTTTTTTTTTAAAGCAGGGAAGGCCAGAGAGTGGAGACAGAAATAAACCTTTTAAATCTTTACGTGAACCCCACAAGGACATGAGCATTTAGCAGATTAGAGCGTGTTTGGACTTATAGTTTCTATCCCCTACAGCAGTGGTCTTCGATCTGTGATCCGGGGACTCCTGGGAATCCCCCAAGGCCTTTCAGGGGCTCCAAGAGATAAAAAGTTGTTTCCTAACAATACTAAGGCATCATTTGGCCTTTTTACTGTGTGATCATTTGCGTTACTGGTGCAAAGCATTGGTAAATCTGCTGGCCCCTTAGCAGGAATCCTGACCATGACACTGGCCTGCACCAGCAGACATGGCATTCTTCACTACTTGGACTTGTTGTTAAAAAATGAAACAAACAAACATACAACCAATTTCATTTAAGGGTGCCCCTGATGAAGGAGAAAAATATTATTAAATTTATTAAATGTTGACCCTCAAGTACACACCTTTTAAAATATTCTTTATGACAAAACGTGAAGTATGCAGAAAGCACCTCTGTGCCTTACCTAAGTACCATGTTTGTCTCCAGGGAAAAGTGCATGTCAGGAGCTGAACTAGCTGCTCTTTGGATGGATGCCCTTTTTGCTTAGTAGAACAACAGACTGTGGTTCTTCTGACTTGAGTATGTTTCATGCTTTTTCTCAAAAAGGAACTAGGTGAGCCTGTCATTTCAAGAAAAACACTTGACGGTATTTATTGCCAATACATTCAATCCTTCAGGCAAAAATTAGAACTTTGGAAAACTTGTATCTGACCCCATGAATCTGACAGTGTCCCAATACTTAACTTTTCTGATGATATGGGTGGTGATATGAATCAATGTGATTCCTTGATTCAATCATATCTGATCATGATTTGGGTCAACATCTGGAAGAGTTACAGAGCTCAGTGAACCAATAGTTTCCAAGTGACCAGCACGTGACATTATCAAAACATGCATAGGTAAAAGGTTTATTCAAAGTCTAAATTATACCAATTTATTTGAATTTAACAGAGCATAAGAAGTCACTGATGTATTTTCAGGATTCATGTTGTAACTAACCCTTAAGAAAAACTACTTGTTGAGTTTGGGTATAATACCAAAATAAGAATATCCAGAATCATTTGAAAAGGCTATTACAATATGCTTCCCTTTTCCAGCTTCATATCTATGTGAGGCCAGATTTTCTTGACATATATCAACCAAAAGGACGTAACACAACAGATTGAATGTAGAAAGAAGCAGACACGAGAATCCACTTGTCTTCTGTTAAAAACTAGACATAAAAAGATTTGCAAAAATGTAAAATAATGACTTTCTTCGTACTAATGTTTTTTGTTTTGGAAACTATACTTATTTTCACATGATCATATGTAATTAGTTCATTGCTGTAATTTTTAAATTAATTACAAGTAAATGTTTTCAAATGTTCCCAGTTTTAACTTCCAGTATGGTAATTATTGATACATAACCTAATAAACAAAAGCCCTTTGGGGCTTTTAGGATCATAAAAGAATACAGGGGTTGGGTGTGGTGGCTCATGCCTGTAATCATAGCACTTTGGGAGGTGGAGATGAGATGATTGCCTGAGCCTAGGGGTTCGAGACCATCCGGGGCATTTGGCAAGACCTTGTCTTAATAGTAAATTTTTAAAAATTAGCCAGGTGTGGTGGCATACCCCTATAGTTCCAGCTACTTGGAAAGCTGAGGCAGAAGGATCGCCTGAGTTCAGCAAGTTGAGACTGCGGTAGCCATGAGCATGCCACTACACACCAGCCTGGACAACAGAATGAGACTTCGATGCCAAAAATGAAAGAATACAGGGACCAAAAAGTTTGAGAGCTGTTGCTCTGCAATTTACTGTAGAAGACAGAAAATTTTGTGACAAAGCATAAGGTAACACTAGAAGGGGCTTTAAATTCAGACAAATTTATCAGATTAGCCATAAAACATATGTTAAGCAAAGCACTTTCAACCATGAATTCCAGAACAAATTTTCTTATGCTCATTTTCTGTATTGTCTTCATCTTTAATAGCAGTAGAACACCAGAATCATTGCTAATGTCCTATTTTCAGAGATTTTGTTGTTCTCTTTACTAATATAGCAGAGATCTGGGTGTAAAACTGTGATTTACAGAGGCTTTACAATTTATCTTTAATCATCTACAACCTATATTAGCAAAAATAGTACTAATAAATTACTGCTCTTTTTTTTTTTTTGGTTTGGACTTGCATGGAGGAAAAAAATCTTTTGTATGTTTTTAAGTATACTTTCAGAGCTATCCCAACTCTTGGTAGATGTGAGACTTTTGCCACTAATGTGGGCACTTCGGGGAATTTGATCACTACGTGTATGTAGTGATGGAAAAAGTCCTTGCAGGGCCTGTTGCCATGCAAGTGCCAGGCACCTTGACACGAGGTACATTGTTCACCCTCCCTCACCCCTTCTCCAGGAGGGAAGACTTGTGCCCAGAGAGCTGTCGGCACCTGGAGTGTGACAAGAAGGCCAAGCCCTGACTAACTTCAAATGCATTTGCCAGAACCAGTTCCATTATACTAATTAAATATGTGGAAGCCCAACCTTCCCTGAAATTTCTTGTGAAAAGTCACATGCAGGTAGAAGGCAATGCCAAACACTTGTCCTTCATTTTATAATCACTTTGTTGGCATCTAACATGTAGGCATTCCCATGGCCCTTTGTGGCCAGGCCATCTGCCTCTGTTATTATCAAATAGGAGACACGCAGGTCTTACATTCCGTTCGGTTTCCTATCAAAAGGCTGTCAGCGGGGCAGGAACAAATATGTATTGGCATATTGTGCATTTCCAGGGTCTTGCCCCTGAATGTCATCATCGAGAGGGAAGCTGGTGCCCCTAGAGCCAGATCAGTCCCGGGGTACTGAGACACCTTGTTCTGGCATGGCTTTATTAGCCACTTAAAGGCAGAGGCTGAAGCGCTCACTGTATAAACAGAGGTTGTGCAGTGGCCTGCCCAGAAGAAAAAGCATCTCAATTCTTCGGTGGATCTGCCCCAAATCGGGAGGACTGAGGAGAGTGAGATCTCCCAGTTTCAGACCAACTCACGGTCATGGGGTGGAGGAAGGGCGGGGGTGAAGAGCAAGGGGAACCTGGCTAGCCAACCTCTGATTTTGGCAAGGCCTCCAGGATGGCGCATTGAGGAAGCCCTGGCCGTTCCAAGGGTGAGGGGAAGCTCTACATGCCTACTCACGGTCACAAAGAAGACACAGCTTCTGACTTTCCAACTTGAAAAATAAAATTCCAAGATAATTTTCCTCTTTGAAGTAAAATGGATCATTTTTAGGCAGTGTATTTTATTAAACTCTTAGCATTTTCTGACCAACTGAACCTAACATAATAAATTTTATACACCAAGTTTTACATTATTCAGTGTTTTGACCCAGGCATATAAAACTATTAAAAACAAAACAAAAGGGCATTTTTTTTCTTATCTGGGCATGTACACTCTGTGAAAATTCACCAAGCTTGCATTTATGATTTGTGCCTGTTCTGTGTGCATGTTGCACTTGATAAAAAGCTTACTAAAAAACAGGAGCATTGTAGTAATTTTACTGTAAATAAGATACTCTCAGACCTGAAAATATTCTCTAGATTCAACTTTGGAATGTTTGAGTCATTAACCAAACATTTTGTTCCTTTGCCATCGCTTTGTCCCACCACTTCTCAAAGGTACACTGAATCCCCTTTGGTACAGTAAGGAAACAAAGGCATTCACAGACTGCCGGTGTGTGTGCAAAGCCGTAACTGTATCACCAGGGCCTGCTATCAGCCTTTGTGGGTATTTTTCCTTCTTTTTGAATCATTGGCTTCTGAATGACTTGCTAGGTGGGTGGGAAGGAAACAGTGAATCAGAAGACACGGGAATGTTGTAGGAATTGGAAGGTCTTCTAAGACGTTATGCTTTCTGTTTGCTTTCTGACTCTCTACCGAAGTTTCTGGTCCTGGGTAAAGCTGGCCTTAGACAAACTGGGTTATGTTTTCCAGGTCGTTATCTCCTTTCTCGTGGCTCTCAGGAGTCTTCTGGCTCAGCTGAGCGCAGAGTCGTCTCATCACCACATGAAGGTCAAGCACACCTCTCCAGACTTCCTCTTCTCCTGCCCCAACTCAGGGCTCCGTTCTCCCAGGTGACACAAGATAAACAAATAAGAAAGACTTGGCTGGGTGTGGTGGCTCGTACCTGTCATCCCAGCACTTTGGGAGGTGGAGGCAAAAGGATTGCCTGCGCCCAGGGGTTCAAAACCAGCCTGGGCAACTTGGTGAGACCTCATCTCTATAATAAATCAAGAAAAATTAGCTGGGCATGGTGGCTCATGCCTATAGTCCCAGCACTTTGGGAGGTAGAGGCAAGAGGATGGTCTGAGTCCAGGGGTTCAAGACCAGCCTGGGCAACATGGCAAGACCTCATCTCTACAAACAAACAAACAAACAAACAAAACGGGTGTGGTGGTACACAACTGTAGTTCCAGCTACTTGGAAGGCAGAGGCGGAAGGATCTCCTGAGCCTAGCAGGTCGAGGTTGCAGTGGCCGTGATCATGCCACTGCACTCCAGCCTGGGCAATAGAAAGAGACTGCAACGCAGAAAGAAAGAAAGAGAAAGAAAGAAACAAAGGAAGGAAGAAAGACTCATAGGAAACTGGAAGCTTTTCCAGATAAGGTTTAAGTCCCAGACATGCTGTAATACATGCTAAGGGATCTTGGGCAATTCAAACCTCAGTCGTATCATCTGTAAAATAAAGATAATAATATCTACCTCACAGGGATTTTGGAAAGAAGTAACACATGGAAGACACTCAATACAAGTCTCACTTGTAACAAATACTTATCATACGGCAGACTCTGAATAAGCATTATTGATACCATCGTCCTCATATACACTTGGTAAATGGTACACATCACGTATACAAGTCTGAAGTTGGGGTAATGACCGCATCCCATCTTTGCGGGCACATGTTGTGTTTTAACAGGGTTTTTGCCAGTGTCCAATCATGTGAGTGATGTGATCTGCTCGGATAAGGCCGATGAAAGGAGCGCTTGAATGATATTTCTCATCATATAACATAAGAGGCTTCTAAATCTGCATGATCTAAGCCCTGCTATTGTAACCAGTAATATGTGTTCTAAGCCTATCATTTGTAAAGCGCTTCCTCTGTGCCAAGCACCGTGAAATGGATTACCACATTTAATACTTATGTTAGCCTTTCATCCCCTTTTTACAGAGGAGGAAGCTGAGACTCAGAGACGCAGAGCCACCTGCCCGGGATCACAGGGTTAGCCCGTCGCTGTAACTAGAGGCTGAGTCTGTCTGACTCCAAGGGCTGCGTTAACCCC